AGTGAGACAATGCAGCTTTATGTAATAGCTGATTTTTTTATAACATAAAATCACTAGAGACTGACTACAGAACGAATTTGCTTACAGTTTTAATGAGAAGTAGTGACCATTGGGGTTCAGTAGGTCGGTTATGAAGATAACTACTCACCTATGACATTACCTGGCAGTCGCAGTACATATTGAATTGGTAAACCAATGGCCGAATAGACAATGACCTCATTTCTTGACCTGAGAGCTGATAAGTTTATGGGTGCGTACTGATGAAGAGTCCCAAACTAGGACGAAACCGCTTGTCATCACTTCATGGTTTTTAGCGGTCCTCCAACTAATATCAAACTTGGAACAAATCGAATCTCTACAAATTAGCACTTAAACATAAAATGATTCCGATCTCAGAGAGTAGGTGAATTTTCTCAAGGTCATAAAGACGCCTTGTTTAAATGCACCAACTCACTGCAACTCTAGGTTATTTGAAGCTTTTTAACTAACACATGCCTAATAGTCTAACATTTTTTGAAAGTAGATAAAGTCTCCACATATACGAACAACTTTCTAATTATTCCAGTCTGACGTACATACTTATTTTTGTCACGTGTAAAGTTTATCAATATGTGAAATTAACAATCATCAACAGAATGAAATAAAAACGAATGTTTTCGCCAATTTTTACACTAAATAATTTATATATGACAATTCCCTACTTTTATGTTTTGGATGACATTACTTGTTTTGCTAGTGAATATTCGGTTTTTAGCTTAAAAATCACGTGATTACAACTTATACAAATCTCTCTTCGTTACACTGACGTACACACTTACGAACGGTCGTCTTAAATGTGTGACGTCTTATGTGTCTCTCAATGCTTTGTATTACATGATCTTATGGTTGACTCCTCTACGCACACATACACACACACACACGCATATATAAAAACCTTTATGATGTCTTGCCTATCTGCGTGGGTATCGCAACCACAAAAGACACGATTGGCGTCCCTGTGATAATTATTATCATATAATCTTCACTAGATATTTTTCGAAAAAAACAACAAAAATTGTTTTGAATAACTTCCTATTTAAGCTCAAACAGTTATGATGCCATAACAGCATAGTATGCAATAACCAAGTTAAAAGCGTCATAAAGCGTCATACATTCACACTTTTTTCAAATCATATTATCTTATTCCATAGTACGTAATGTGCGTCGGTGGCATAGCGGTTAGGACGCTCGGCTCGCCGACTATGCACATGGTCCGGGGTTCGATCTCCGGCCACCGACGCGCACTCCTTTACCTCGTTAAGCCAGAAATAATGCTGGTAAAGAGGAAAGGTTGGGCATGAGGCTAGCAACCCCATCCTGTAAAAATAATCACCACTGCTACAGAAACTTCAAGCCACTAGCTTGAAGCCCTATGTTCCACTGGGGAACGTGAAGGAACAAAAATAGTACGTAATGGGAATGAATTTGACTACATCACAGACTGATATAATAAAAGTTACAGGACAGTTGGAAACTGAGTGGCGTAGAACTTTGTTTCGTTCTAGGTTGAAACACTTCATCAGTACCCATTTATGAGAAAGGTTGGGGATCGAGTCTAGGACCTCCAGTTTATGAAAAGACCACGTCGTCATTCAGCCTCAGGGACGGAATGCAATGATGTATGCATTGTAACTTCTGCTAGTTCATTGTCTGTCTGTCTGTTTTCGATATAGAACTTTGCACATATGTGCGGCAGTTCAAGTCGCCACACTCCCTTCATGAAGCACACAAAGCAAGAGAAGGAAGTAGGAGAAATGCATAATATAGACAGTAAACAGAGGTGTGAGACAAAGGAATAGTAATAACGAAGAACAAAACAGTTTCATTGGAAATCATAAGTCACAAAGAGTGGATGCATCTGCGCCAGCCATTGAGAACGATTTTGAACCATGTCACCAATTGTTTCCAACCATTGGTTTTTACCGTCCCGAGGACGCCAACCAGGAAGTCTACACCTCCCTATGTGGTTTAGACTAACTGTTGTGGATTTCATTGACTGGTGCCATGTTTTCGTTTGACCACCGCTAGCTCTTTTCCAGCCTGACCCTATATCAGCTAACATTGCCCATTGTCGAGGAAGGCGATGACTAGGCAGGCATGCGTATCACATGTCCTAACCATCTCAGAAGATGTAATTTCACAGTCTTGTTGACTGATTCCCCCTCCTTACATGGCACTCGACGCCTAACCACAATATTGTTCACCTTATTATACATCAACACCTTATTATATATTAACAACATCGTCCAATATCATAGGCAATCTCAGTTGAGTTATTATTTACCAACTGACTCATTTTTTTCATGACTCAACTGGATAACTTGATTCACAAGTTGCGAATTGGTTAGCAATCTTTAGTGTACACAATTCGAGGGGTGAAATCATGTGATCTTACTAGCTAATTTACAAATTGTAGATTTGATTCTCCAAGGCAGCTAACCAGAAGTTGGTTGGTTTGGAGCGATTCGGCGCTCTGAGGGTGCATCATATCGGATACACTACTGATGAGCTTGACATCAAATGAGCGAAGTACCCGTCCGGTGTTTAGATCACTTCAATCTAGCTGGCTAGCGAGCACTACTATTTGCTGTGAGTAGTATACAACTACTGATGTCGGTCAAATCAGTAGTATATACTTCTACGGATACCTTGATGTCCGCTATAATAATATTTTTTCACATATAATCGTAAACAGCTAAAGGAAGAAATTATCGAAGAAAATTGTTCGTGGAAATTTCTTTTCTCTATTAACAATAGTGGACCGATCTACTTATGTATGAGGACAAATACACGTAACGAGAGAGAGAAAGAGAGGATTAATTCCACTGTGAAGGTGAAGTTGTGGGGACACATACCCAGATGACTTCAAAAAGAGTGTTTGAAGCCCCAAAGGGTGATAAACACAATTGACAGTCGGTTGATGGTATATAATATGCCGTTAATTCATTGGCACGCTGAGTCTAAAGTTTTTTTATTCCTTCACTTTTCCCAGGGAAACATAGGGCTTCAAGCTAGAGTCTTGAAGTTTCTGTAGCAGTGGTGATTATTTTTACAGGATGGGGTTGCTAGCCTCATGCCCAACCTTTCCTCTTTACCAGCATTATTTCTGGCTTAACGAGGTAAAGGAGTGCGCGTCGGTGGCCGGGGATCGAACCCCGGACCATATGCATGGTCGGCGAGCGTCCTAACCGCTATGCCACCGAAGCACCTGAGTCTAATTGCGATGGAATAATTTAGCGACATGTAGTCTATGACAGACTGCCTGCCTCATCTGTAACAAAACATATTTATGTAAGTCATAATGAAATGGTAGAAGACGACGACTCGGTAGAGAGATGCTTTAACTTAACATAAATGCCCACTAGAATTTTTGAAAAGAATGGTTATTGAAAGAAGAATACTCTTTTCATTAAATTCATCATCAGGTTCTACACTTATGTATACATAACAGTGAATAGATTCGTGTTATGTATATATAAGTGTAGCACCTGACGATGAAGATAGTTCTTTTGTAAATAACCGATTATTTTGAAATCTTTGGTATACATCGAAATTATCTCTATATAACCAAATTATATATACCTTATCTACAACGCACCATTTGCACAGATCTTCGGTGTTATGGTACCTCTGGCCTTTCATATTTTGTTTCCTTGTAATCCTTTCAAGTCTCCTATGTATCTCCACAACGCTGTATCATTTACCTTACCTGAAATCAAATCTATCTTCCTGTAATTTGATGTTTTTTGTGCCGATGAACGTCTCTTTATATACTACTGATATATCTTATCAGTAGCACTCGTCACAATAAGATCGATATAAAAACAGCTTTCAAGGTTATGTATGAAAGCTGACGCCACCAAATACAATGACCGAAGTCGATCTTCGCGTTCTACTACATAGCTGACCAAAACATCCTTGAGACACGCACGCACACACACACACACACACAGTCACAAAATGCTCCATAGACAGCAAAATGACGATTATTCGTCCATAAATGTATGTGCTTCTATTCAACAACAATAATAATATTGAAAACTCAAGTTGCCTCAATAGTGCCGTTAAGCAGCTATACAGACAACGCAAATTTCTAAGTACAAAACAAGTCGTGTAAATCAAAATCAGTCAACCGACATTCAACCTTTGAATCAAGTAGAATGTTTCCAACATGGTGGGATCAAAACTGTGTCTACAAGAACCGCGCACCACCACTGCCAGCAAACAGTTCAATGTCAGAATGATCTTGATTCGCTCAAACAAAATCACTTTGTGAAACTAGGTCATTATTTTCTTACAGGTTAAGTATCATCAACCCTCAAACAATAAGTGTGGCTCACTGCCTGGCATATGATAAATCTCTCCCGCACCGCTGAGTTTTTACTTATCCTGCATTCATAGGCAGAAAGTTTCTTGAACTGCTAATAATGAGTTCACCAGTCAATACCTTGCGTGTAGTCCCTAGTGTTAGTACAGGTTGGATTCTCTCAGTCAAGTTTACGATGCACTCATCAAGCAAAGTGGCTCGCTGTCTACATCAACACCGAGGACTAAACTCAAGACCATTCAACCTATCCTTTACAGTCCTACAAGAGATCAGTCGTGAATTGGAATAGCTCAGTGGTAATGTCTATGACTGTAGCACTGGGTGACTTGGGTTTGAATCCCAGAGGGGATATGATTTACTTCAAAGTTGCAGATACATCCTGATGACTAGTTACAAGAAGCACTAAGCGTAAGTCTAGGGTCTCCTGTCGATTGTCTCCAACCGTCTAGTAATTAATCCACTAAAAAAGCAGATGAAACGCTATCGTTTGGTATAGCTGACAAAATTATCTCCTAATTGGTTGCATTTTCTTTCGTGTACAATAAGTGGTACGTTTTGTCTATCATTTGTTGTTTTCTAGTTTTTCACGTTTCTGTATCAAATATTCTTTCTTTTTTTCTTTCTTTCTCTTTAGTTATTTTCTCCATTCAACATTATCATAGTTGTCGTCCGATTAGAGATATGGGAACAAGATCGTATTAGTTTAAAGTTAGAAGAACATCATATACTCACAGCATTGGCTCAATTTAAACGTATGCATACTGATATACGCCATGATTGTTTACATGCTTTGCTGTAAGTTTATTATTTGGATCTTGTTTTTTACATTGTTTCTACCCTCTTTTGGTTAATAGATTTGTATTTTGACTATTGTAATACATACTTTTGATATTCAGCTCATATGGATATGATTAGTGAGTTGGTGGCACAGCGGTAGAGTGCTCGCCGACCACGCAGGTGGTCCGGGGTTCGATCCCCAGCCACTGACTCACTCCTTTACCTCTCTGAGCCAGTAATAAGACTGGTAAAGACGGAAGGTTGGGCATGAAGCTAGCAGCCCCATCCTGTAAAAATAATCACCACTGCTACCTGGAATTCAAGCCTCTAGCGTGAAGCCCTGTGTTCCACTGGGAACGTAAAGGAGTAAAACAAGATGGATATGATTAACTCCAGTGTGAATATCGTCGCAAATTAAAGGGCCCCCGTTACGAACTTTTCAGCAGTGTCCACCAAACATCGAACTAATTACCTCCAAGGCGTGATCCAAACATGTTTCTTATTAAGTCACTGAAATGGAGTCCAGTCACCAATGAATTCTAATCTCTTTGATTGGACACTAGATGTTAACTAATGTCATGCGTCTAGTTCACTGATTGGTGCATGACATCAGTTGCTACCTAGTTTCCAATAAAAGCATCCGTTAGAGTCTATCAGTAAGTCAGTCGTGAGCCCGATCAGCTGAATGCCGCACTGGGTGACCCGGGTTCGAATGTCAGAAGTGACATGGGTTCATCAGACAGTGAAGATACGCCTTATTGACAAGTGCCAACAAGTATGAAACCGAGGTCCAAGGCTTCCTACCAATGGCTTCCAACCACTTAATGGCAATCCTGATTTCTGTCAAATCGTGTTATCGTTTTACCATGAATGAGTATTTAGGGTCCTGACACTCAACCTTACAGACTTCGTTGGTTTTGGCTTCTCGTAGATGTGCGCCAGTGGCACAGCGGTAGAATACTCACCAAACATGCACTCCTTTACCTCGCTAAGCCAGTAATAAGGCCGGTAAAGAGGGAAAGCTGGGCATGAGGCTAGCAACCCCATCCCGTAAACGTAAATACCACTGTCACCGAAACTTCAAAGCTGTAGTTTGAAGCCCTATGTTCCATTGGGAACGTAAGGGAATAATTAAGAAAAATTAAAAATAAGATGTACACTTTTAAAGTGTCATAAACCTAGATGAGTCAGCTGTCTAATTCTCCGTCTTCAATGATTGATTTCCTAAATGATAACTCTTTGTAAAGAAGTTCACATTGACACATTTTATAAACAAACTGAAAATAAAATTATTTTCGAAAGTTCCAAGTTAATGATCTATGATGATTTAAGAATTAATGGATATGGATGATTTTGATGTTCTGTTTGTTTATATTCCTTGAAACTTGACTGCTTTTAAACCAGTTGCATTTAATGAAACTATTTGCTAAATGTTATTGCCTTATTTGGAAAATTTCTTTATGTAACTTGGGTAAAATAAGTTACTGATAACTGGAAAATGACAACTTTACTTTCCACTCAACTATGGCTTCCCAGTCAATTCCATCCTGACATCTGTAAAAACCATCCTATGAACTGTATGATTGGCTGCAGCTGCAACCTACAGTATACGCACTTCATTTTGTCGGTGACTCATGGGGAAAAAGATGTTAGGTTGGGAAATAGCGTATGCAGATAACATCTGTAGTTGCTGCCTGACTTTTACTATCCAATTCCAGTTAGTTTTGACTAGCGCCTACCAAGGACGACTGTGCATTTAACTGTTTAGTCACAAATAGCTCACCACTCAACCTTCATATAATAAAAGGCCAAGGTGCTTCACATAGTCGGAATATTCTCAAGTGTTGGCTTGCAAGTATTTGACTGGTTCCACTTTTGATCACGAAATGACTCCAGTCAGGAAACCAGGCAGTACTGGATATCTGTTTCGTCCTTGTTTGGAGCTCTTCAGAGTAGGCACTCATGGTCCAAGTCGGAATCTAACGCAGGACCTTTTAGTCTTCGAGACGGGATGCATTGGACCATAAATTCTAACTTCTGACAATTGGTGGTATTTAATGCAACTGCCAGCCAGTGTCGTCAGTGAGTATCCGTCCTCATGGCCAACTTGGTAGACCCCGCTGATCATGACTTCCTCCAGGAACTTCAGACAACCTCATCCTACAGTTACTCACTGCTGAGCACCTGAATAATTTTCAAGTGTTGATTTGTGGGGATTTGACTGGCTGATTTCTATCTCTGGTGAGAAATTGGCGCATACTTCTGAAGAGTCCCGAACTAGGACGAAACGGCTGACCAGTACTTTTTGGTGGTTCTCAGTGGCTGTCTAACTGAAGTCAATTCGTAGTGAAAATTGTAATCGTAACATTTTTAAAACAATTAAATGACCACAGTATGATTCGAACAGTCTCTATAGCATTTAGGGTACCACTAGGTCCAACTTTATTGTCGAACTTTTATTGAATTACGCTCATTTTTGTAAAATATCGAACTGACTATTGAAAATTGAAAGTTTCCTACAGTCTAACTGATGACTGACTGGTGATAGGTAGGATAAACGTGTTTCTACTAGTTTAACCTTATTTTATAATGACAGTTTTCCTAAAATATCTTTTATCTCTAGGACACTACTTATCAATAATGTATAACTTAGTTTGATTGTAAATTCGGAAGAAAACATCTAAATGACATTTATACTTGCGATGATTTTATTTACAAATGCCGACAACTTTTATTATTTTGTGTGTGTGTGCGCATTGGAAGAAATCCATGCCAAAAAACCCCAAAAATCACTTAACTACCGCCTACGCATATTAAAATATGTTACTGATATGCTTGAGTGAATCATATCGCCATAAATAGACAAATAATCATGCTTGGTTTTTCAAATACAACTGTCTGCGGTTAAACAGACATTAAATGAAGGTCAACTGCTCTGTCTCTCTCCGGTTGATCATCATAGTTCATTATTCATTCATTTAAAATACAAACTTGGTATATAGTGGGCACTGAGAGATGCACCACACAAATCTCAGTTTGTCCGAGGGCTGGCTGCTGGCTGGATTCAACAAAGAACTTGACACCGAAGTGCAGCAGATCCAGTTGCCACGTTCCAAAGAGCACACAAAGGTAGACAAGAAAATGAGTGAAGAGAATCAATAGAGTTTTGACAAGTATAAGAGTGAAACAGAATGAGTAATGGTAGAAAGGAATATGAAAGATTACAGAGACTGAATACATCTGCGCCATTGACAACGATTTTGGGCCATTTCGCCTATTGTCTCCAGCCATTGATTCTTAGAGTCCCGAAGGCCCCAACCCAGAAGTCTGCATCTCCCTACCTGACTCAGTTTAACTCTCAAGCATTTCATGGATTGATGCCATGTTTTTGTTTGGCCACCACTTACTCTTTTCCAACCTGCATCTATATCAGCTAGTGGTGCCCGTCAGGAGAGACGATGGTTAGTCATGCGCAGCACGTGACCTAGCCATCTCAATCTATGTAACTTTATAGCCTTGTCGATTGATTTTCCCTCTTTGCCCAACACTTTATGCCTAACATCAACATTACTTACCTTATTATACCACCTAGCGTGAGAAAGAGATCGTAGACATCTATGATCAAAAACAGTCAACTTTTTCATGTCTTCAACTCGTATTGGCCATGTTTCCGAGAGCCGGGATACTACTCGGACGCCCAGACCGAGGTAGGTGAATGGCTTAACGGAGCCCCTCTCCTTTACTGTTTTCAAGAAGATCCCACTTCAGGCGCGTGAAATTAGTGAATAAGACCTACCTGGCACAGCCTATCATCGAGTGGCCATTTGAAAGGATTTAGAGAGGAAGACGGAAGTCTACCCATCGTTTTTGGGGGACTGACAATAGTTTACCTTTGTACACATGTGACTATCTGAGGAAGCTTTCAGTTGAGGGACTGATATTTTGGCTAAAATAAGTTTTCTCCTGACTGTACCATTTGAAATCAGGATGCCTTTTAGATTACCATGTCGGAGATCTACTGATTGGCCTACGATGCCAATATAAGAGTCCATTAGAAATTGCATCACTCTGAGATTGAGTTAGCTTTCTATTCACTCTTATTACGCTAGTTGTCCAAACAGACTTTTTCATGTTTATCCTAATTTTACTGAATTAAAGAGGATTGGAAGGAGGAGAAGGTGGACAGTTAGCTGTTTGTACGACTAAGTGAGATAGTCTTAGGCCGACAGACGAATTTTTATTCAAGTATTGTTTCGTAGGGATTTTGATTGATTGCTTACGAGATTTCATCATGAGCTGACATTGGTTAGAGAACCATTGGAAAATCTGGTAGTACTGGACAGCTGTTTCTTCAGCCTAGTTCGGGACTCTTCGGGAGTACACACCCACTGACAGGGTTCGAACCCAGGACCTTCTGGTTACAAGGCGAGCTCGTAGACCAATAGCCCATGAATTCTAATTTCTGCCAATTCACGAAATAGCGCAACCGCTAGCCAATGTCTTCGGCGAGTATTTGTCCTCACACCCGACGTGCTGCACCCTACTGGTCACGACTTCCCTCTAGAACCCCAATTAACTACCAGCCTGAATAGGGCCAGTGGCCAGTGAGCATCTCATTGATATTTAAGTATTGGTTTGTAGGGACTTGATTGATTGGTTACAGGATTTCATCATGGGCTGACATTGGTTAGAGAACCATTGGAAAGGCTTTCCAAGTAGACGAATATTTGTTTGTTTGGACATAGTAGTCAGTTGGCATAAAGCATCTCTTGCTCAGAAACTATTTCATAAGACTTAACTGCTCATTCTCTGTGGTCACAATGGATGAATGTTTCGTACCATCGATTCAAATAGCAGTTGCATTATGCCATCGGTGATAGAAGGGGAATTGAGACGTGATCAACAGTTGGCTTGCATACTTTAGGTCGGTATTGTTGCACCCAGACAGTGGATCCTGGATTCAAGTCGCGCTCCACCTACTTCAGCCTGGGCAACTCTGGTTAGTATCATCAGCCTTCAAACAGACAATAAGTCTGACTCATAGCCTGGTGTATATGAAAAATCTGTCCTGGATAAATATATTCAAGAAGAATATTTCTGAAATCACAAACACGGATTCGAACTGTGACTTTAGGTGTTTTCATTATCCAATGATATCATCATTTAACAACTTCGTTTTAACAACTGAGGCATGTTCTACCCTTTTTCATTGTGATTGTGATATTCTCTTTCTGAATTATTTAACAGAGGCACAAAAGAACAAGGGTCACGTACTCGTGGTAAAGCTAATCATATGACAATGTGTATTTATTCTCGTTGTGTTGGTTATAGCAGAGTGAGTTGAATATTTTCTAAATATTACATATATATGCTACACGTTTCCTCAAAATTCTAATCTGTTCCTTATTCATCAATATTGTTGTCATTTCATTTCCTTTTTTTTAAATTTGAGATGAGTCATAGTCAAAATCGTGATTACTATGAACTACATTAGTTGTTATTCACTTCTCTCTTCACCTCTCTTTCATTTCTTGCGTTCTGAATGGAATATAAGGACTCAAGATCTTCAGAAGTATTTTCGACGAAGTCATCAACTAGGCTGTACATTCGTGTATTTATATTACATGTGTGAGAAAGTTCCAGAATTATTTCCGATCATAGGTCAAATTAATAAAATTACTAAGTCCAACCCTTGTCCCTACCGTGACCATCATGAAAAGTCAGTTTCACCAATAAAATGATTATCCTGTTACCTTTCTTGTTCAACCTTCCCGTTTAATTTGTTATATTTACCTTTTAAATCCCTATCTGCATTATTAGATCTGGTTACTGTTTTTATTTTTTATATGTCCGAATCTCCTACCCATTTCGTTAATACTACATCCTTAACCCGTAATTATACAAACTGACTAGTTTTCTAGTAATTGTAATCCTATTTTGTCTTTTCTACCCGATCTTCCTGATTATTACACATTGTAATTTTTAATTTTACCCTTGACCTGAAATATTTCTAGAATAGTGCCACTACCCTATCTTCTGTTTATTACACGTAGTAATTTGATTAATCTGACCTCTGACCGGAAATAATTCTGGAACTTTTTATTCACACATGTAATATAAATACACGAATGTACAGCCTCCTAGTTGACCGTGACTTCGTCGAAAAGAAAATTCTCTCCACTGCAACCGTTGTTTTTTAATAATTCCTGTGATCCAATATGTATATTCCGTGATCTTCAGAAGTCTCAGTAGCAGTGGTATTGTTTTTTATGCGGTGGGGTTGCCAGCCTCACGTCCAAAGTTTTCACTTTTCCGAGCTTACTACTGGCTAAAACACAGTCTAATGCCTCGACTGGGGGCCGAAATTGTACCACATGCTTTGCTGATGAGCATGCTGCCTTTGAACCGCCGAAGCACCGCTATATGTATCTTTAGTTATCATAAATTGTAGCTCATATTAGCGCAACAACCTTTACCCATATTTTTTGAAATAACTTATCAATAGGTTGCTAAGCTATTCAGATATATTTTCTGAATGTTTTGTTTTGATGGATTTCCTATTTCAGATACGGTAGTGTGTATCTGAATATTCTAGTAACATTAGTGGATATATTTAGGTTAGTTGGTCAGATTATTCATAAAGGAATTCCTGCAATTATGGTATGTACTGTGATGTAGTCTGTTAACACGTTCTAGCTGGTTATTAGTTTAGAAATCAGATATCCGAATCAAATTTATTCATCTGCCCAGCTATGAGCTACACTTACTGAGTGAAGATTGATGATACTACTAAATCGTCCAGTTTGAAATAGCCGGAGAGGGATTTCAACACAGAATAGTACATTAACTGAAAGTCTAATGCTTGAATCAAATTTTTCTGTCAACACCTCCTGCAGCTCACTAATAGGATAAATTTTCTATAGTTGGTTTGTAAGGGTTAGATTTGTTTTTACGAGTTGATCACGGATTGATATCAGTTAGAGAACCATTGAAAGCCAGCACTGGAGTACTGGATAGCCAGCTGTTTCATCCTAGTTTGGGAATCGTTGGCTGTACACACCCACTGCCAGGATGAGAACCCAGGACCTGCCGGTTACAAGACAAGCTCGTATACCATTCAGCCACTGAGACCCGATTCGATGGCCACCGCATGAACTCTAACTTCCACCAATTCGTGATTTAGCGTGGCCACCAACCCATATCATCGGTGGGACATCCATCCTCACACTTGACTGGATGGACCTCACTGGTCACGACTTCTCACTAGAACTCCAGGAAACTCCATCTCTAACTGATATCAATCCGTGATCAACTCGTAAAACAAAACTAACCCTTACAAACCAACTATAGAAAATTAATCTGATGCTCGCTAGTGACTTGCTACAAGACGGAGATGGTTGTTGGGTACAGTAGCCACCTTAACTAACATCCAATAGCCGTTCCATTTGGTCATTACTATTTTGAAGCCACCTCGAATCAAATTTTCTTTTCTATTTGAAGTATTTCAAATATAATCATCAGTCATTTCGTATAATTTACCAGATAAACACAACCTCCTTGTTTGGCCATGCATCTAGTTTTTAATGATGACTGAATTCCTGTATGTCCAGTTGAAGTGTCATCACCAAGCAGGTTGAATTGACGTTAGACAGTTGGAAAGAGCCTGCAGGAAGTCCTGAACACACCTAGGTTTCGTACTTATTGACGCTCGTCAAGGCTTCTTGCCCATTATCTTTACAACCAGCTGAATACAAGCTTATTAAGTTGAAAAATAGTTACAATGCATTTAAAAGGATAACATTTTTGTCAGGTTTATGTGTCAGCTGAAGGGAATAAATAAAATTCTCAATAATAGTGGATTTTTTCTCTTTCATACTGACGACTGTTCATTGCTGAATGTTCTTCTCTTTATCCTCTGTATCTATCAGTGTTTTGCAGTTTTTTATTTCTTGTATTGCTCTACTTTTTGGAAAAATCTATTTCCTTTCTTTAAAGTTTCATACATCTTTTCATTTTTGTTGTTCTCCCCGATTTTCCTGATCTTATGAAGTTTGTATGTGTATGTGTGCGTGTGTAGCAACTTGAACAGTGTTTACTGTATATATGAAATTCTGTAACATCCAGTTGGCTCGTTGTAGGTTTAATTTTGGCCCGTGAATAAACTGCCGTAACTTTATTGATATTAAGTATAAAACTTGGCCACTGTGATAGAGTATAACTCCATAATGGATAAGATTTTATTTTGATAAGTCACACAGTGTTACACAGTAATATTAACTGATGACGTTTCGAGCACAAATTATTGCCACTCATAATCATATCAAGCTACACACAGCTTTTTTCCTTCATTTATATACGTGTGGAATTGACCAGATATTTGAAGAAAACTCAATATGCCATAATGTACATTCAGAAATAATAATATGAGTGTTATTTGCATTGAGTGTTGCCTTGGGTTTAGACTCGATAAACCAGTCAGGATTCAGTAATCAACCTCTCTCTCCACCTACATAGATTAATTCTTAGAATCTTAACCCTCTCCCACCCTATTGTGTGATTGTGTGTTAATGCATGCAGTGCAATCGCTGAGCTCTTTTCTAAATTACGTATCTTCTTGGGGTCAACCATTCTTACCTTAGCTAAGTTTTTATGTTCCGACAATCTGACTACCCCCGACCTATTAGTTTGACCTATGTAGTTGACTTAACTCACGGTCATTGCAGGGTATTTTGTAAATTATATCATTTGTTTAACTGGCTACACCGGGTCTTTCAGCCTACAGAGCTTGTCCCTGCCTGAGTGAGTTTGTAGGTTTTAATGCCGCCCTAATTCCTGCTTTATTAAGAATCCTACCAGGTAGGGTGTCAGATGTCCCCTCCTAATATGGTAAAGCAGCAGATGACTTATATTCTTTCCTATTTATGTTATCACTACTAGTTTCCCAATTATTTTTATTTTGCTTTTGGCCTTTTTCGATCTTCCTAATGAATTTTATGGGATAGTTATTCAGCACCAACGCCTCTTCTATCTGTTTTATTTCATCACTTAGGTTTTTTCTGCTATTTAGTGCTACTGCTATTAAAAGGGATGTGATTGTTCCAAAAATAGATGAGATGTTGTGTCATACAGTAGGAAAATACAGTGTGTTCTCTGTGTCCGTTATTATTATTATTATTACTATTATACTGTTCTTCCTATGAGTTCCGAGTAGGACGAAGGGTTTCAACAGTACATCTCCACTTAATTCTGTTCTCTGCAGTCTTTCTCAGCTAGCTCCGAGATGGCCCTTAGGCGTTTGCCTCCTCCTCCTCCATGTCACCCTCAAACTCAGGCTCACCTCATCATCTCCCACTTGGGTTCCACACGATAACTAGCTTGGCGCGTAATGTCATTCAACGGTTGATAGGTTCTTAGTTGACTTGTTGTCACAGCTCCTTGTTACTTATCCCTTCCGGTCATCTGGTCTTCAATATGGGTCGAAGAAGGTAGCTGTTGTTGACAAAAGTCTATATTAGGCTGTTGGAACCGCTTTTCGTGACAAGCTAAGAGTAGCGGTGGATTCACTGTTTCCTTCTGAAATGGTGTGGACGAACTACTGAAGACTGGATGACTAGATGGCCCATTGTTGCCTCTTACACGAAAAGAAAACTAACAGAAGGCCTCATTTATAAATGTAGAGAACATATAAGTGGAATCAGATTACTGGTCGCGTCGGTGGCATAGCGGTTAGGACGCTCGCCCGGGGTTCGATCCCCGGCCGACGCACTCCTTTACCTCGCTAAGCCAGAAATAGTGCTGGTAAAGAGGAAAGGTTGGGCATGAGGCTAGCAACCCCATCCTGTAAAATTAAACACTGCTACAGAAACTTGTAGCCACTAGCTTGAAGCCCTATGTTCCACTGGGGAACATGAAGGAAAAAAGGAGAACATATAAAAAAGGCTGTATATTGAATTTGATTGGCCATTGCTCCTATATTTGAGGAATCGCATAGATGATACAACGCTATGCATAGTTGTAATCTGTCTGTTTTCTGTGTCAGTATGGCCTAAAAACGACTTCGATGTCGGTTCATCGTAATACAGGTATTCGACGTTGATTGGATCAATAAATTCTTCGGCGGATTATACATACATCGTACTTCCTTGATTATTAATTATCATTATCACAGGATAATTCCAGTTGCAAATAAGTCGCCTAACATTGAAAAGATTGAAAGTCAAACAAGTTAGCGATAGAATCTACGACATTCTTTTATGGTAATCAATTATAATAATAGGTAGATGGAATGGGACAGGCAAAATCGGATAAAAAAAAGTTATATACCGGTAACACAGATGGGAATAATGATTATGATGGGATTTATTTATTCATTTTATTGCTTTTATTTATACATTGGCTGAAGTTACTAGAAATTTGACATGGAGAGTGGAGAGGGAGTGTAGGGCAAATGAATCAATGTAATAATATAAATAAAATCAGCAGTAATAATAAGAAATGATCCTTATAGCAACAAAGAGAGAAAGAGACAAATGCTACATATTTGGATTAGACAGGACAAATAAAAGAATTACTATTATGATTATTGTTTCCTTTAGTTCCTAGAGGAATACAGGGTTTCAGCCGCACATCTCCATTGCGTTCGGTTCTTCGTCAATGTTTTCACCTGGCTCCACATCTGCCCACATGCTTTCATTTCCTCTTCACATCACCTCCTCCATTTCACCATCGCACTGACTACCAACTCGCCGCCTTCCACTCGGGCTCCACTCGACGGCTTGTCTTGTGATGTTACTTGATGGTTTTCTCAGAGTATGGCCAGCCAATCCACCTCCATTTCTTCCTGCATATTTGTTGCACAGCTGGTTCTTGGTTGACTCTTTCCCAGAGATTTCTGTTACTGATCTTTTCTGGCTGGCCATCTGATCTTGAGTATTGAGCGAAGACAGCTGTTGACGAAAGTCTGTAGTTTTTTCGATGTGCCCTTGGTGACGCGGCGCCAAGTCTCTGATCCATCTGTATAGTAAATAGCACTGACTTCACATTGGGGTTGAAAATCCCGATCTTATTTTCATTTTCATGCTGAGCTCTGTTGAACTCCACACAGACTTGAGAGAAATGAAAGCTTGACTGGCTTTCCCAATCCTCGCTGCTTTGATATCCTCGTCAGTTCCGTCCGCCTGTAGTTGAGACGATGCTTCCCAGGTAGGTGGGTAGGTAAAGGAGGTTGCTTCTTTCAAATTCCTCCCATTTATGTTGATTGTTTTCTTTGTTGTTGCTGTTGGTGTTGGCCAGGAATCTTCATCACCTCTGTTTTCTCTATGTTCACCTGAAGTCCTATGTTTGATGGTTCTTCTGGCAACTTGTTGCTTTTCACTTGCATATCTTCCAGTTTGTGAGAAATCAGACAAGTATCATTGGCGAAGTCTAGATCCTCGAAGTGTTTTTGTGTGAGTCCATTTTATGCCCGTTTCCCCGCTGCCCGCAGTCTGTCGCATCATCCAATCTACTGCAGTCAGGAAAATCATCGGAGATAGTAGTGGGCAGCCAGCCTTGTATTACTCCCGTCTTTACTTCGAAGGACTCCGTGAGTTTCCCATTGTGGATTACTTGGCATGCAGCATTCTCGTACAACTGTTGGATGAGATGTATAATTGTTGGCGGCACCCCGTTGTAGCGAAGTAGTTGCCAAATCACCTCTCGATCGTCGCTGTCGAAGGCCTTTTGAAAGTGAATGAAGTTGAGATAGAGAGGTGACTACCATTCCAAGCTCTATTCAATGATGATTCGTAGTGTTGCGACTTGGTCGATGCATGATTTGTTCCTCCTGAATCCAGCTTGTTCCGGTGTAAGTTTTTCATCCAGAGCGTGTTTAATTCCCTCCAGGATGATGTGGCTTAGTATTTTGCTTGGGATAGACAGGAGTATAATTTCGCGCCAGTTCTTGCATTGACTTAAGTTTGGCAGTTTGAATAAAGGGATTTAGTCCCTGGGAGCCTACTTAATGCCGCATTAATTTCAATTTCTGCCAATTCGTTATGATCTTAGCACGACTACCAACCAACGTCATCGGCTAGTTTTTTTTCTCACTTCCCACTGGTTACGACTTCTCAACAGAATTCATTCCAGGAAAATTCGTTACTTAACCAGTCACTAGCAAGCAGGAGATTAATTTTGATTTGTTTCGATTTTGACCACGCATTGATTTCACATGGAGATCCATTGAAAGCCAGAGAGTACTTGACAGCTGTTTCTCATTTCGGATTTCAAAACTCTAGAATGAATAAGCTTCATCCTTATATCTTTTTATTTTTATCAATATTTATATCAATGCTAATTTTTTTTTACAGGTTTCACCTACATTTGACATTACGGAAACAGCTCGAACTATGGCGCATGAACTTGGACATAATTTTGGTTTACGACATGATACTGAAGAATGTGAATGTCAAGGTTGTATTATGGCGACAGGTGTAGAGTAAGTACTACATAATCAATAAATTTATTGCTATAATTATTATTATTATTACTATTCAAAATTCGCCTTACAACTACTTTGTTAATGTGCATCGACATATATTTTTGTTTCCACTCATAGATCCTTTCCACTCCGCCATTCATTGAACCATACGTGACATTGACTGCTTTTCATTCCATGTCGATTACACCTGATTCTGTTTCTGTATAGTGCTGTTTCATGTATAATATTGTTTATGGTTTTTATTGGTTATTGATAGTCATGATACGAAGTCTGTTCTATAAAAGTAAATATAAAATTAATGTGTCGTTGATACACTGGTTGGGCGCTTGCTTATCACGCACGTTGTACGGGTTTGATTTCCAGACGACTGACTCCTAAACATGGAGGATTTCATCATGAGCTGAAATCAGTTAGAGAACCACTGGAAAACAATCTTGGAGTACTGGACAGTTGTTTCGTCCTGGTTTGGGACTCTTCATCAGTACGCACCCGCCAACAGGGTTCGAACCCAGAACCTTCTGGTTGCAAGGCCAGTGAGCTCGTTGACTATTAAGCCACTGGGACGCGATCTTATGGTCCTTGAATTCTAACTGAAGGCCAGCCCATGAATTCCAGCTTCTGCCAATTCACGACATAGCGCGACCATTTCGCAATGTCTTCTTCGATGAGTTACTGCCTCATCTTCAACCTGCTGTACTCTACTGGTCACGGCTTCCCACTAGAACCCCAGGTTAACTGCCTGAATAGGGCCAGTCACCAGTGAGCATCAGATTAATTGGCAAGTATTGGTTTTGTAGGGCTTTTGGTTGATTGCATGGAGGATTTCATCATGAGCTCACATCAGTTAGGGAACCACTGGAAAACCTGGGAGTACTGGACAGTTGTTTAGTCAGCCTAGTTTGGGACTCTTCATCAGTACTCACCCACCAGGATTCGAACCGGTAGTAATCCCAGTAATGAAGGGAGGTTTATCACGAGACTGTCAACGTCATCCAGTAGCAGGATCACCATGGCTTCTAAATCTGCAAAGCTCAATCTTGAAGGCCTTTGTTCCATTTGTCGCCTAAAGGAGCTTCAGTGGCACATCTCTTTTACATTCTGTTCTCTGCGTTTTATTGAGCTGGTTTCAAGACTGCCCGTATGACTTCATTTCCGCCTCACACAATCTCCTCTATGTCACCGTCGAACACAAGCCCAACTTTTCGTTTCCTATTCGGGTTTCCCCTTCGAGTGCCTTGTGTCCCCGACATTCTCCTCAACGAGTATCCAATCCACCTCTCTTTATTTCTTTCTGCATATTTGTTAGGTGACAGACAGGTCGTTGATTGGTTGGTTTGCCTCCAGAGTTTCTTGTTATTTGTCGTCTCTGGCAGACCATCTGATATTTAGTATTGAACAAAGTCAGCTGCTGATGAAATTCCTCAGTAATCTATTCGAAATGTCGAATGGTTTCAGTGGAATACATTCTCGTTGATGTATTTATTCCTCTGTGAGTAGAATTCCTTCCTATCTAGTATTTCTATTCCCTGGATTTAGTCAGTGAATGCTTACCAACTACTTAAATCAGCTAGTAGTATATGTAGTATGCTATACCAACTCACAACCATTTGTTAAACTATAAATATGTGGATAACAACTGTTTGTAATGACTTATCCTTATATATCATATATATGTGTGTATTTTAAAACAATACAAAGATGGAATTCCAATAAGCAGTGTAAGTGATTGTTGTAAGCATAATATCATAAAATAAAATTATCTTGAATGATATTATAACAAAGTTTTATATTTGTTTCCATTCTTTACTTATGAATTTAATTTTGGACAGTTTAAATTCAGTCGAATTTTGGATAAATATCAAGTTATTTAACCAACTAGAATTGAATTTGTTTAATTTGTCTAATGGAAACTGTGATTCGTAATGACGTGAATAGCATAGTAAGCGAATGAATTGAGGTAAAGAGGACGAGTGCTGTAGAGTGTTCGCACACACACAAACACACATACACACAGACAGACAGACACAGAATAAGGAGACAACCCGACGAGAAGACCAACAGACCAAGATTGACGGTATTACAGCATGCTGCTAAGTCAGTCAAGCATATATGGGGTAATGTGTGAATTAGAATTTGGACAGATTTATCTCAGGAACATGTCTTATACCGTCAACCTCAACGAACATTAAATCGATAATCCAGATTTTGGAATATTAACAAATTAGCATTGAGATGGCCTCTACTGAATAACAAAAAATGTTAAGCTCTTCAATAAGTTTCAAGTTTACAAAGTTATTATCTGATTTTCTAACATTCTAAAGCATTTCATTATCTAACTTCGACATTGTTCATTTTATGGACATATGTGCTGATGAACATAGAGATAAAAGAGGCGATGAGGATTCCTGGCCAACAGCAACAACAACAACAGACAACCAGCATAAATGGGAGAAATCCGAAAGTAACAACCTCCTTTACCTACCTACCCACCTGGGAAGTATCGTTTTAACTACAGGCGGACAGAACTGACGAGGATATCAAAGCAGCGCCAATCGGGAAAGCAAGTCAAGCTTTCATTTCTCTCAAGTCTGTGTGGAGATCAACAGCACTCATCATGAAAATGAAAATAAGATCGGGATTTTCAACTCCAGTGTGAAGTCAGTGCTACTATACGGATGGATCAGAGACTTGGCGCCGCGTCACGAAGGGCACCTCGAACAAACTACAGACCTTCATCAACAGCTGTCTTCGTTCAATACTCGAGATCAAATGGTCGACTGGGAAAGATCAGCAACAGGGGGGATCTCTGGGAACGAACCAACCAGAAATCGATTGTGCAACAAATGTGGAGGAAGAAGTCGAGGTGGATTGGCCATACTCTAAGAAAACCATCAAGTGACGTCACACGCAAGGCAATCGCTCGAGTGGAACCCGAATGGGAAGTAGCGAGTCGGTCGTCAGTGTGAGGGTGGAGTGATGTTAAGAGGAAATGAAAGCATGTGGGCAGACGTGGAGCCAGGTGTAAAGGTTGGCAGAGAACCAAACGCAATGGAGATGTGTAGCTGAAACCCAATGTTCCTCTAGGAATTAAAGGAAAGAATAATAATGATATACTGATGATACTAAGAAGACAGTAATTTAGCGAAAACTTGTGATTCTTCTGTTTTTGTTTTCAACTCTCTGTGTGATGGTGTCGCTCATATTCTGTGTGGGTGAGTGTAGACTTTGTTACACTACATCTGTTATCTTCGACTAAGCAAGCATATTTTTTTGCAGGTATAAATCTAACAAGTTAGTGGGAATAGAAAAGGGATTCACCTTGAAGATTTCCTTATTAGAATTGTACTAATCTGGTCGTATAATCATTATTATTATTCCCTTAGGTTCCGATTGGAACATTGGGCTTCAACAACACATCTTCACTTCCTCCTATCTTCTGCCGTTCATGATTGCCCATAATCTCTCATCTCCTCCTCGCCACACGATCTCCTCTATGTTACCTTACGACGACCAACTGGTTGTACAAAACTATCTTATATATTTGGTTGAAGGATTTCATCTTGAGCTGAAGTCAGTTAGAGAACCATTGGAAAACCAACTGGGAGTACTGGATACCTATTTCGTTCCGCCAGTTTTGGTTACAAGGCGAGCTAGCTCGTAGACCATTCATCCACTGGGACCTGTTCCGATGGCCAGCTCATGAATTCTAACTTCTGCGAATTCATGACATATTGCGACCAGCATAGCACGCAAAGTATGCAGAAAGTTGGAATATACAATTATAAACAAAGTAGTGAGAAATGTTCTGGAATTTAAATGGTCAATCCACATACTAGAGGAGTTGGTTACACACTCGTGTGATACATTATCTAAATAAAAATGAGAATGTTCGTTCCCAGAGTTCCTTGTTGCTAATTCTTTCTGGCCGCCTATATGATCTTCAGTATGTAGCAACGGAGGCTGTTGAAAAAAGTCTGCAGTCTGTTAGAAATGCACCCCTAGTGTCTGACCCACATAGAAGAATTGACTAACTTAACCATTGGTGCTGAAAATCCGAATTTTCTTCTTTATTCTGAGTGCAGAAGATATCCACACTGATTTGAGAGTTGATTAAGGTCTGACTTGCTTACCTTTCAGATTGTGGCTGGTTTTGACGTTCTCATCCCGTTGAGTCGGCTGTAGCTGAAACGATGGTGCCTAGATAACTCAAGGAAGGAAGGAACCTCTTTCAAATTTCTTCCGTTGACAGTGATTTTTGTTTGGTTTGTCTTCATCACTTCTGCTTTCTCTGCATTTACTTTAGTTTCTAACTTTTTACCGACTGTTTCTTCTGCCAGTTTGTTGGTTTTCGCCTGTAGTTCTTCCAGTTTGTGTTATATTAGACATTGATCAACCGCGAAGTCTTCTCGCTCCTCATGTGCTGTGTTCTACATAATCCAGTCCAAAACGATTAGGAATATCATAACCCTTGTATTCACTTGACTGCACTCACTGTTTGAGGATACCACCGAGTGTAAATTTAATTTTTCCAAAAGTTTTATTGATAAACATTTATTCATATTACTAAGCTGACATAGAAATTAGAAATTGTTTTTCTAACTGAAAAAAACAACTCACAAAGCATGAGTCATACGATTTTCCCATCTAATGTACTATTGGCAAGCTATAAGTATTAACTGTTTATATTGTATGTGTGTGTGTGATAAACAGTAACGTTATGACTCATGCATACTACATTAGTGTGAATTGAAAAGTTAAAAAAAAAGTACAGAAAATAATATTTAGAAATAAATTCATGCATAAACTAGTTATTTTGATGTAGTTGTTTTCTCTGAGCTGGTTGGTCGATTTGCGAAGCTTTCATTGGCACCACTAGGCAACATCTTCAGCGTTTGTGGAAGTGAGCTTTTAGATTTCTCCACGAGTTTATTAGTCATCTCTCCTAGTAACCTGACCTTGAATGTGGTTGGTTGTTTGTAGTTATTTTTGTCAGAAAT